AGAATATATATATATATATATATATATATATATATATATATATATATATGTGTGTGTGTATATATATATACTACCTTGCCTGCAAATTAATTCGAATTATCAGATATGCTCATCTTTATAATTATAGCGACATTTAAGATATAAAGATAAGACAAAAATTAATTAAATTTAAAGACAACAGAATTCCTTTGGGGGTAATCTATCCATTCTAGATATACATATAATATATGTTTATGATATAGATCGATATATGGGGAGAGAATATATTCTCCCATTAAAATTAAATTTAATAATAAAACATGTAATACCAAATGCATGGAATTAATTTTTGAAATTATATTAATTTATTTAGCCTAATTTATTTAATGTACTTCTTATTTCGGTAATTCGCATTTAAATAAATTTCTTTTGTTATGTGGGTGATATCAAAATCTATTTAAACTTCAAAGAATTTTTGCAATATGAGCAAAAGGAATATCTTTTTGTCTCTGAGATATATAAGATTATATTTAAATGTTTTCAAAAATATACAATATTATTCTCAATTAATTAGGAATGATATACGTGATAATATGTATACATATATTAAATTGGATACTTAATATATATAAAGTCATTTTTATTTAACTCACTCTTAATTTGCGATAATATTAGGATAGAATTGTTGCTGTTAATTATATTATATTTTTACCGCCACACATTGAAAAGGTTAAAGCCAGAGGTCATTATTCTCCATAGTGCATATTTAGCACCGTGAGCGCGATATTCACGCGATAAATAAAACTCGGTATCGGACGACCACCGCATTTAGCGCTAGATATGTGACGAGAATATCGAGGCCGAATTTTGCAGAGATGCAGTCCGGATCCGCGCGCGTAATCGATGTGTTTCATTATTGTAATATATCGATTTATGATACTATGATTTTTATAATCATAATTTTGTGTATTAAAGATCGCGTGTTAACCGCGCGATTGTATTCCACCAGCCGCAAAAATATCCTCGTTGACGTCGCGGAAGTCGATGGGTGTTCGGATCCTGACTTAATGGCGGGACTTGGAAACGACCGGAGCTCGCGAGCGAAGCGTTAAACTGTCCTAAAGGTTTCCCTGGTAGCACTTAACCACCCGCTGATCCGCATTTCTTTCCGTCGTAGAGCGACGAAATAAACAGCGACGTTGCGTTTGCTCGACGATAACGCGAGTGACGTTAAACATTCTCGCCACTTTCGACAATTTTCGGATATATTTTCGCGTATCCGCTATCTCGAGTTAATTAACAATTACAGACCAAAATATTAATAATAATTATTATATGTAATAGAAATAAAACATCAAAATTTTCTCTCTCTCTCTCTCTTAATGAAGATTTGAATTCTTCAATCGTCAATATTAAAAAAAATAAAAGTAAAAATAATTTGTTTAAAAATTAAAAATAGAGATTATATTTCTGTATATGATGAATATGAATGTGGCTTGCGCATAAAGTAATCCAAAGCGCCAAAAATCTAAATGCGTCATTGAACACCGTGTCTTTTTTTATCATTTTAATCGCGCCGTCGCGATCTGATATAGGATAGTTCAACGCCCACGAATTTATCGTCCGATTGACGTCCCTTCTGCATTTTGTCGATACCTTTTATCGGAGAAGAGGAGAAAAAGAGGCAGATCGGCTTATACGAAATAGTATTGGTCATCAATTCCTCTATGTTCTTTCAGTTCGTATAATAGCTTTTATAATTGCATTAATATGAACAGAAAATGCTAATAATATCATGCACATCGCGTAGACGGAATAGCGCAACGATACATAATCAGCCTTTGAAATTTTTAATTTTTGATTGGCACAAAATCGTAGAAAATAAATTCAAGCTACTGACCTTTTTGAGAAATTAAGATGAAGGGAAATATACGCGTTGAAACTCCTATGATGCAAAAAGATGAGAGCGATGATTCCATGTGTGTTGCACAAGGAAAGCGGGAAGCAAGTGATTTTGAAATCAAAAAGAGTGACTGTAATCGCCCTCTATATTTTTTCTAATATTCAATCGGTCGATAAAAAAGAGCTCGTCGACATTATCTTGCGTGATATCAGATGAAGAAGGAGATCTTTTATATCAACGAGGGAGTAAAATATTAGCAACAAAGTAAAGCTAATTTTTTTTATCTTTATCTCTCATCTCCTATCAGCTGTCTCCTGTCACTTTTGATCGATTAATGTGACGAAAAATGTAATTCAACACATATTGTTTATTTCGAAGAGCTATCTATTCTGTTGAGAATTTGCGGATGTTTCTACAATTCCCGGTGCACTTTGAGCGCGTTCGGTCTGAAATTTTTTAAAATCGTAATTTTCAACATTTCGCGTATCAATGTAATGCAGTTGTGACATTACCTTTGCGTCTTCAAAATAATCGATAGGTTGAGATAATTTAGAGAGTAAAGCGATTTTTTCCGTTTTGTTGATTAGAGTTGACCTAAAACATGAGAAAAAATAAATTAATAAAAAAATATATAAACACCAATATTGTTATATTGTATACATATATATCTATGTAAACTAAATTATTAGATTTAAATATGCGATTTAATATTGAATATATATGAGTATGTGTATGTGTGCGATAATTTGCACAATGCTCTATTTATAATAAAATTAAGTATTTTTTTGAATATAGTTTCCGTATATATTTCTCTCATAACATACCTTGTACTATTTTGTGTCGATAATTTCTCAATAATCTTAGCATCTATATTAATCTTTTTCGGTCTTTGCATCTGACTTTTTAACTTTTCTATGTTTTGTGTAAGTTGATGAATTTGTACCTTTAATGTCGCATTTTCATACATCAATCTATTATTTCTTTGCACAACCTAACAATTCACATATAATGTATAATATAAGTGGTCTAATTCAAAAGTTATTGGATTAACAAAACAATATATATATATATATATATATAGGTAATATATATTTATTATTATTGTTTACTTGTAAAAATTTAGCTTTATTGAGGGGCAATGGTTCCTGAAATTTCTCTGACACAATCAAGTTAAGTTCTTTTCTCGCTTCATCTAACTTTTCCATCATTTCTGCTATTACTAGTAGATGCTCGTGTAAAAGCTGATCCAATTTATATCTTAATGTATCCTTGGCATGTTTCATACGAAGAAACTTTATACATGTGTTATATATAACTTCATTTTTATTCGCCAATTCCTCTTTGAGTCGCTTATTTTCCGTTTGTTCTAGTTCCTTATGCTGTTGTTGCTGAAACTTTGACATGTTACCAGAATGTTTAGTCCTATACCGTTGCATTTCTTCAATGAAGTGGTCTTTCTCCCTTTGATAAAAAAATCTCTCATCATCTAACTGTTCTACAATAAAAATAATTAATATACTGCTTTAAAACAACACTTTATACATATCTATTGAATAACGGCTTCTAGAGTTATTCCTGATAAATACCCAAATTGTGCATAAATTTGGATGAACATATGCAAAGATTTTATTTATATTATGGTAAATAACTTAATCAGAAATGATACTAACAATGCTCTAAATTAATATACGTATACTTTGCAAAATATTAATAATGATCGAGTCTTACGTTTAAGGTTTCTATTACATCTTTGTTGCTTCTTTAGTTCTGCCAATAATCTTCCTTTCTCTCGATGTGTGTTTTCTAATTGTGTATCTTTTATTTGTATAGCATCTTCTAAATTTACAATAGTTTTATTCAATTCTGTTATCTTGATGCAAATAAAATTAAGATCATAATTATTGACAATATTGTTACATTGTTAATGATATGAGAAATAATAGACTCATTATCCAGAGTTGTAAATGTTTAAAATATAAAAATTTACCAACATCTTATTCATTTATATAAATACCAAATCTACGAATAAACATATATGGGTTCGGTATATAAATCATCAATTACTTATAACCATGTAAAATATAACATACTTGTTGCTGTAAAGTTACTACTTCATCATCATTTATGTCACATTCTGCAATATTTTGAAGAACTTTGTTCTCTATAATATTAGTAGGACATTTATTCAAGCTAATATTCTGCATATCACAATATATAACTCCAAAGGCTAATCTGTAACATGTCTATTTGTGATAATCTTCTATTTGTTATATTATTTTATTGATTATATATACATCACACTTTGTGTGTGTTTAACATACTTTAATTAAATATCCAAAAGTTATAATTTTTTCAGACTGCTTTTGTGAATAAATCTATTTAAAACTCAAAGATATGTATATTAAAAGAATGTTCTTCCTTCATGTATAAAGCTATAAATAAAAGAACTTGACATGTTGCACTGATTCTCTAGAAATAATGCTTATATGCAAAAGTTACTTGTCAGATACATGGTTAATGAGAGACATACATTAGACATTAGATAAAATTAGACAAATAAAAAACGTTAAAAACGTCACAACGAATCTTGAATGTAATCGTGAATATTGCTTTTCATATTCATTATGCTGAAATAAATTTCTAAGATAATTTTTTTTTGTTTAACATGCTTTACATTTCAGAAATAAAGAAAATTTTTTTCTTTAGGATATATATAATATAGAAAATTCGCATCAAAAATTTCTTTCTAGAGAACAGGTTATACTCAAATGAAAATTTTCACCCAAGCAATACGGATCTTAAAAGTTGTGAAATTTTTTATTGTATCGTATATGTACAAAATAGGTGTACACACACACATACTACTTATCAATCGCACATACGTGTTTTATACACGCGTCACATATGCTTTAATTGCATATGACATTGATGTAAGAGCATTTCTTTTTACCTAGTACACCTGTAACCCCCATTTCTATTATCTTTTATCAAATGGAATGAATGTGGAGATGACATATGTATATGTTTCCTTTTTATATGCTGATATCTGTAGAGACACAAGTAAAGTTGTGGAATTATGAATGATTAATAATCCTTTCTCCACCTTGCACACGTGAAAATAATAAATTATATTGGAGCCTTATCTTTTTCATAGTTTTTTTACATGGAACTATTGACAAAAATCATGTTTAAATGAATATGTTAAAATTTATTTTTTATATCTCTGAAAGTGTATCGCACGATATGAACATGGCTCAAAGAAAACAGAAAATACAAAATACTTTGCTGTATGTGAATTCCCTCTCTTGTGCTTTCCATAAATTTTACAGTGTAACAACAACTGGGCCAAAGATTATTTAAACATTGCTTTATATTAAAATTATATAAAATTGTTAAAATGATGTCTAGTGATTAATATATATAAATCAGATTAATATGTCAAGCAATAATTTAGAAAAAAAACCTGTAGTACCCTTGTCTTTAGAAGTCCCCTCTATATTATCATTTGTATAAAACTTTATAAAAAAATAATTTCAATAAACAATTTTAAATGTTGCAATTATTCCAATTAGAAGGTACTTCTTGAAGACAGACAAATTATCCTTATAAAAATCTTGCCATAAAAACGTTTTTCTTTTTAAAAATTAAATTCTAGATATATATCATCCTGCAAAAGTATCTGGTAAGAAGCATCTAAAAAATATGTTATACAACTGAAGTTATATATTATAATAACCTTTGCTTTTCTTACAGAAGTATGAAAAAATGACGTAAATATTTTGAGCCAATACTCCTCTTTTGATAATAAATGCAAGCAATCATAACTTTTCATAAATTAGGAAAATATGATTCAATCATTTTGAAATTATATGCGCCATAGTTACTTCATTTTTATATTTTGTTGGTCCAGTTGTGTTTTAGAAAGATGGAAGGCAACGCTTGTTGTATAATAATCTGATGAAATGATACTAGATTCGCACAAACGCGGATGATATTAATGATGGACTTATGTTTAATATCCTAACTTAAGAGTTTTATTTTCATAACATTAAGGCTCGTGCTTATTTTTTCTTATTTTTGTTAGCCTGATTTTTATATTTGGCCGCAGTTGTTAATTTGGCATTCTTCTTCTTAGGTTCATCATCTTCATCATCTTCATCTTCAGGATCCTACAAGAAATATAAAATGCAATCATGCAATAAATTGTACAAGCAAACAAAATCATATTTTGTTAAACTTCTATAATAAGATTCAAAAATTTAATATTGTAAACCAATTTATTAAAATTTTGAAATAAATATGGGGAGGCCTCACATATATATTCATGCATTTTTATTTAGCAAGTTTCGCGAAAATTAACATCAAACTTTATCGTACTTTATAATCAAAATTCCATTATATTAATAATATTTGTGAGTTTTTCTGAAAATATATTTTGCTTTTATTATTTAATTAATGCATATGATAATATGTAATAATTCTTGATTTTTAAATAGAAATTATAATTCAAATGCACTTTGCAATAGTGGAAAAAAAGGAAGCATGATTAAAGAATAAAAGCAACTCCTTGCAAAATATGATTTATTTTACAAAAATAAAACGAACATGGAATGAGAACACAGATATAATAGATCAAAGATACATTCATGACTTTTTACAAGTGGATCACTTCCACTTTTTCGAATTCTTTAAATTGTAATTCCTCTTAAAAATATGATAAAGTCAAGTGAAATTTAAAGTATTTTTAGTGCAATGATGTCGTATTTTTTAGAAGACACATTAATTATAACGCAGTGTATATTTTTTTTTAATCTTAATGTTCTATTTGTCTACATCTTCATCCGTTTAATGCCGTTTTTTTTATCCTCTGCTAAAAGCTTTCGTTTCTTTTGCGGTGCCTGAAATTGATATTTCTAATACATATAATTTGAAATATTGCTATTAATTTTTAGCAATATACAAACTAAAGATCACGAGATGCATTATTAGATTCTCTACAGTAAATTATAATTTAACACTATATGTAATATTTAAACGTATCTTGTGCATTTAAAATATTTGTCATGTTTTTAGAAATGCATTCTGTATAAATTTCTGCTATTAATGAATTTAATGTAATATCTATATGCCTCACCCATAATTTTCTTTATATAATATTATTTACGTAAACATGCATTTTGGCTAAATTTATCACAATAAAGTTTGGCTAAATTTATCACAATAAAGTTTGTTACCTAGAATACATATTTATATTCTCGATAACTTTTTTTATAATATATATAATATAATAATTCACATCCAATATACACATACCTTTTCATCATCCTCATCATCAATGTTTTCTTCCTCCATCTCATCATCTATATCGTCAAACTCTTCAATATGCGCACCTGAAATGAAAGCTAATAAATGTAAAGCTAACAAAAAAAGATGAAGATGACGGAAGAAACTATTTGGAAAACAAATATATGTTGTTTAATGTTGTTAATCATGTGCTGTATATCATGCGTTACAATGTGTATGCTGTATATATATATATATATATATATATACAGCATACACATTGTAACGCATGATATACAGCACATGATTAACAACATTAAACAACATATATTTGTTTTCCAAATAGTTTCTTCCGTCATCTTCATCTTTTTTTGTTAGCTTTACATTTATTAGCTTTCATTTCAGGTGCGCATATTGAAGAGTTTGACGATATAGATGATGAGATGGAGGAAGAAAACATTGATGATGAGGATGATGAAAAGGTATGTGTATATTGGATGTGAATTATTATATTATATATATTATAAAAAAAGTTATCGAGAATATAAATATGTATTCTAGGTAACAAACTTTATTGTGATAAATTTAGCCAAACTTTATTGTGATAAATTTAGCCAAAATGCATGTTTACGTAAATAATATTATATAAAGAAAATTATGGGTGAGGCATATAGATATTACATTAAATTCATTAATAGCAGAAATTTATACAGAATGCATTTCTAAAAACATGACAAATATTTTAAATGCACAAGATACGTTTAAATATTACATATAGTGTTAAATTATAATTTACTGTAGAGAATCTAATAATGCATCTCGTGATCTTTAGTTTGTATATTGCTAAAAATTAATAGCAATATTTCAAATTATATGTATTAGAAATATCAATTTCAGGCACCGCAAAAGAAACGAAAGCTTTTAGCAGAGGATAAAAAAAACGGCATTAAACGGATGAAGATGTAGACAAATAGAACATTAAGATTAAAAAAAAATATACACTGCGTTATAATTAATGTGTCTTCTAAAAAATACGACATCATTGCACTAAAAATACTTTAAATTTCACTTGACTTTATCATATTTTTAAGAGGAATTACAATTTAAAGAATTCGAAAAAGTGGAAGTGATCCACTTGTAAAAAGTCATGAATGTATCTTTGATCTATTATATCTGTGTTCTCATTCCATGTTCGTTTTATTTTTGTAAAATAAATCATATTTTGCAAGGAGTTGCTTTTATTCTTTAATCATGCTTCCTTTTTTTCCACTATTGCAAAGTGCATTTGAATTATAATTTCTATTTAAAAATCAAGAATTATTACATATTATCATATGCATTAATTAAATAATAAAAGCAAAATATATTTTCAGAAAAACTCACAAATATTATTAATATAATGGAATTTTGATTATAAAGTACGATAAAGTTTGATGTTAATTTTCGCGAAACTTGCTAAATAAAAATGCATGAATATATATGTGAGGCCTCCCCATATTTATTTCAAAATTTTAATAAATTGGTTTACAATATTAAATTTTTGAATCTTATTATAGAAGTTTAACAAAATATGATTTTGTTTGCTTGTACAATTTATTGCATGATTGCATTTTATATTTCTTGTAGGATCCTGAAGATGAAGATGTATATAAATTATAAATAAATATTATTATTATTAAAGAATATTTATTATCTGTTTTATTTTAGCTGTTCTAATGGAATGTGTCTAGAATAAATAACAAATATTTTATAAATATTCTATAATCAAAACATTTCATAATTTATTAAGAGAATGTTTAATAATAATTAAACTTGTACATTTTTTTAGAGAGACAAAGAGAGAAAATATTATCATTACATTACATTAAATCAAATTTAGTTATGTTTATAATTGTCATTTCAGAATTAAAAATGTTTATGTTTTGATACATATATATATACATGTGTAATAATAAGATTTATTTCAGATTTGATCTTTCTTCAAAAATGTTGAATATATACAAAATAAAGTATTTTGTATATAATATATATGCAAAATAAATATTAAATTGCATACATTAATGAAGAGCAATGAGTATAAATTGTACACATTATAAAATTTTGCTATAAAATATTTGCTATAAATACCATTAAAATAAAAATATCTTTTTTTCTTCTTTTCCGACTATCTTACAAATTTATTTTTTTTTATGTGTTTTCGAAATGTATTACTTGAGGAGGCGTCCAATTTTATTCATATCGCCTTTTTTTAAATATAGCTTTATAAATATAAACATGTATAAACAAAATATAATGTGCAATTTTTAATTAAAGTTATTAAAAGATGCATATCATGTATAGCATTTTGTTTTGAGTTGTGTGCAATACAAAACTGTGTATATGAGTTATAATAAGTGTAATAAAATAAAATATGACACCATAAAATGTGTGTGTGGCCACAATTTATCAATAAGACTTTTCAAGATTAGTTTTAAATTTACTAAGTCATAGATATATTTATGCAAAGATTATGTACTTACCAAGGAGATTGTGTCCTACTATGTGAACAGGCCCACTGCCCTTAACCAACGTAAACGTAACAGGAGGATCTGGGAAACTGAGATCAAGAATAATCTGCGCTGTTTTTCCCATTTCCAGCAAGGCAATTGGCGTTTTGATGGGTCCCTTCAAACCCATTGCCTCTACCTGCAGCACATTGAGCTCACCAGGCTTGGCCTCTGGTCCCAACAGAGCCTGCAAAATTTATATAATAACAATTATGTGAGTAAAATTAGATGTATACAATAATGTGCAATGACGTTAAAATATTTTAGATACGATTGTTATCCATGAGATCCACAATTTTAATATGAGACAATTAAAAGAAGTTATTAACGTGGTTTATTTAAATAAAAAAATGTAAAAATTATAAATAAATTTTATCTAAAATATTTTTATTTTCTTTGAACAATTAATTCAAGGTGACTAGCCCCTTCTAGGTTAGAAAATATATTGGCTTTAAAAAAATAATTATATATAATCATCCATACAAGTAAGAGAATAAACAAAAGAATTTTTAAAAAATGAGTTCAAATGTTTTCATAAAGTTGATTTTGAATTTAATGTTTAATAATAAAAACAGCAAAAAAATACTGATGATATGAATAAAAGATGTTCTGATGTGGTTCTTACTTATCAAAAATTTAATTAAAAATTAAATAATAATATAAGAACAGCATATAATTCTTACAAAATTACTCGTTAACGATAAGCATTTAAATATTTATTATTTATTTTGTGATGCCACGCGGTAACCGGTACGCTACAGAATTCTACAGTTCAACCTACAGATCGCGATCAATTGATTAAATTATACTAGATACGTGTATATATATCAGATACGTGTCCTCTGAAATTCATCTATTCATAAAAAATTTCCGTTATAATCTTTATTCCAATATAATAGAGCTCTAACCCATAGTAAAATGGGGGAAGGGCGAAGCCGTTATTGAAAAATGGCGCCAAGCATCAAACTTTCACAGTGCTAGTCAGAAAGACCTCCGAAATTAGTCGACGCCTTCGTTTTACGCATGGAAGACGATTCGACTGCATTCACAACGCCACAAACGGAAGTACATCGTTGGTAGAAAAAAAAAAAAAAAAAGAGAGAACAAAAATGCTTGCACTTAATCGAAGGACGTGTGCTAAAAATAAGCAATGTTAAATGTCTTGAATGTAAAGAAATATCCGGAACCGAAGAAAAAAAAACTTGATACGTCATGACCGTTTCATCTCGATTTATATCCTCGGTATAAAAGTTTTTAGTTAGAACGAGAGGGAAAACACGTCCGCGTTGCGACATAGCGATTAAAGTTTCGCGCGCAAACTTTCATCCGAGACGATGACGAGGTTGCGAGGAAAAAATTAGAAGTAGATAGATAGGTATTCCTGAAAATGTGACGCGATCGAAATTGCGCCTCTGGTGCGGTTAAACGGAGAGGACCGCGTTACATACGCACCGAAACTGAACGTAGTTGTAGTCGATGTAATTTGATAAAAGCACACTTATCTTACGTGCGGTAAGGATACGATGGGACGGAGATAGACATAACATCGTATTGCGCGCTATCTCTCCTCGTCGATGAGGAAAAAATCGCGAACGAGAGGTAGCGGCTGCGACGAGACGAAGACGATCTCATTTTGTCATAAAAGTCGACGACATCGTACTTACCATCTTTATAATGAGCTTTTGATCAGCGCCGATGTGCTGAGCCGCGCTGTCCGAGTCGTCGTTCTTGTGCTCCGGGTCCCATACCTCGCTCGCATTCGGTCCCTCGAGGGTGATTCCTGAACACACAAATCACAATCGTGTACACGTGTCGCGCCGGGGAATGCCATCGTCGACGATGGCGATCGCGATATTATTTTCGCCGTCTATGCCGGTTCGTTGGAGACAATGGGGGTCGATTGGTCGCAATGGCCGAATGCCCAGCCGGCGTCTCGGCCAAGCGCATCCCCCTCGTTCTCGAATGGCCGACGGTACGTAAGTATCCCCGTGAGACGCTAAATAACGGGCGGACGGTGATCGTGGCACCGCAGCCGATTATATTTACCGTATAAATACTCCTCTGCCATGACGATCGATCTTGATATTAACGGATTCTCGTCAACGTGATGTGCTCGAGGGACGTGTGCGTACCGTACACGGTGATGGAGAAGCTAAGAGTGACGCCGCGTGTGCGCAACGGTTACTGTGTTACTGCGCGAGGGAAAGGTCGCCGCACGTGCCGGTCGCCGGACGAGCGCGTAGTAAATGAGTTTCGCGTACTCGCGACCTTGCGCGCCCAGAGTACGTTCCGCGCGCTGATTGGTCCAACGCGACGCGCGGCATTGGTGGCTTTTCTGTTAGAGACATCAAGGGCGACGCATTTTAAAAATCCCTAACAAAATTTCCGTCGAAAATTTTTGATTTCTTTTTCCACGCAAATATCTTGATCGTACTTGATCATCTTTTGTATTAGATGATTTACCATCTGTGTAAACTTTGTATCTTCCAAGGAAGAACGATTGTATAAAATATGATGATAAGAATAATAAATTTTTCGAATTACTTATTATGGTTTACAGAAAGTTAGCATGTGTGTATTTGGATATTATATTAAGATATAGCAAAAAGGTACTGTATTATTGTTTGATGTAGGGGATATATACATTCTTGTGATCAACAAAATTTTGATTTTATATTTAATCTAAAGAATACGAAATTATGATTATACACACATATAATTTTATCGTGCTAATATTTTATACATAAGCATATGAATTGATTCATTATATATTTATTACACGCTAAAAATTTCACATACATAAAATAAACTAAATAAATAATCTCTGAAATATATGAGAATCGTATAGTAATTACAAAATTAATTTATAATAGGAATTATCTCGCGAATATATACGACAGAATTTTCAAATGACAAGCGTGGCAGCATCGTCCTATCGCCTATTGGTTCAAGTTGGCTCTGGTGGCGAACGCACCTAACTACTGTCGGCACATTGGTCCACATTGACGCAATAAATAACGGACGCAACACGTGAATAACGTTCCAGTCCCGTGATAAATGTCGCAGAATAGAGTTGCAAATATCTTGATCGTACTTGATCATCTTTTGTATTAGATGATTTACCATCTGTGTAAACTTTGCATCTTCCAAGGAACGATTGTATAAAATATGATGATAAGAATAATAAATTTTTCGAATTACTTATTATGGTTTACAGAAAGTTAGCATGTGTGTATTTGGATATTATATTAAGATATAGCAAAAAGGTACTGTATTATTGTTTGATGTAGGGGATATATACATTCTTGTGATCAACAAAATTTTGATTTTATATTTAATCTAAAGAATACGAAATTATGATTATACACACATATAATTTTATCGTGCTAATATTTTATACATAAGCATATGAATTGATTCATTATATATTTATTACACGCTAAAAATTTCACATACATAAAATAAACTAAATAAATAATCTCTGAAATATATGAGAATCGTATAGTAATTACAAAATTAATTTATAATAGGAATTATCTCGCGAATATATACGACAGAATTTTCAAATGACAAGCGTGGCAGCATCGTCCTATCGCCTATTGGTTCAAGTTGGCTCTGGTGGCGAACGCACCTAACTACTGTCGGCACATTGGTCCACATTGACGCAATAAATAACGGACGCAACACGTGAATAACGTTCCAGTCCCGTGATAAATGTCGCAGAATAGAGTTCTGAAAATTTGACATTGCATTTTATTTGACAGCCGATGATAGACGGCCGCGGGACACGTGCGCTTCCGTAAAGATTCGCCCGCGTGGACTTTCGAGAAAAATCCTACACGTACTACGCTACGGATACGAGCTTGTTAGAAGAATGCGTGCCGATACGTACATTCTGCTGATTTATCTGTCATTCGCGATTTTCGGTGGTGCTGAAAAAAATGACAGCGCCTTCGTAGCGACGCACGAGTGGCAAACGGTGAAGAAGGGTAAGTTTCGTTGGGTCATATATGACCATGCAATGTGGGACTACTTTACGTCAACCGAATCCGTCTCTTCTTCCAACACCACGTCAGTCAAATCCGTCGCGTGATTTTTTCGCGGTATTCCGCGAAAATGCGACTTCCAGCACAGTTTCTAAAGAATGAGGCATGTTGTATAAGATGTAGAATTTTTTGGCGGAAATTACTCGGATTTTGTGGAGTATATTAAAAAGTAGTGTAAACTCAGTGGTTGCAGATCAAGTGTTTCCAGTGATGTACACTTAGATTTGATTACATGGTGCAATTATAAGCAGCCTTGAAATATTTAAATCGTCTCGAATTGTATTAAAATAATTGCTTTTTTTTATAATTTTCATGGAACTTGATATTGTCAAAATTTAAACGGTTTATATCTTCATGAATAAAATTAATTTTATCACATAATTGCAATTTAATATGAATTATGAAAGTATAGAATTTGAATTTTTCAATTAATTAAATATCATAAATGTAAATATTGATTAATAAAAGTGATTTTTTAATCAAGTATAATAAAGATTTATATATTTATTGTACATATAGGAACTCCTATCCCCAAAGGACTTCATGTAAGACATAATTTTGCAACTGGAGTGACAGAGGCTAAATTAATGGACGATACAGAGGAAGTAAAAGAAGATGATGAAAATACAAACCGATCAAATTCCAAGTCACTGACTTTACATCCTGATAAGTCAGTGCTGGAAAATGAAGAAGTGGATCCTGTGAAAATAAAGAAAGATTCTGAAATTTTAAAATTCCCTATTGATGAATTGAAAGCAAGATTGAAAAAACTTAAACAGGAAGAAGAAAATGTATCCAATATGAATGTAACTATTTCTTATTATTAATATTTAATATTTAATCATTTTTCTTCTGTATTAATTATTTTTTTAATATATTACATCATTATTTAATATGTCATCTCATCAATTATATAGCTAGCTTTTATTATTATAGTTTTAAATTAATAAATTTTATAAAAATTTGATAACATCTACTGTAATTTTTTTTTCTTTTTTTATTCTAGGATGGAGAAACTAAGCCAAAAAGTGAGAAGCATTTTAAACGTTTTTACGAAACTTTGAAAGAGGAACTTAATGCTCTAAAACTCAATGTTACAAGTGATTCTGAATTATTAAAGAGATTTTTCCAGAAATTCCAATCCTATAAAAGTAGTGTCACTACAGGAACATTAACCAGCATAGAGATTGAAGAAGTTTTGGATCTTTTGAACAATTTAGAATATCTTCTTCATCAAATTGACAATGCTAAAATATTTTCAGATATGGATGGGTAAGCATAATAAACAAAGATAGATATTTTTTTTACGAAAGAAATTTATTAACATTTTTGTTCTTTTTTACTTCAGGCTAACTAAGATCATATCACCATGTCTCAATGGAACTAATAATGAAATAAAATTGGAAGCATTACGCCTTTTGGGAGCAGCTGCGCAATCAAACCCAAAAGTGCAAGCTAAGGCATTAGAAAATGATTTTATTCAAAAAGTATTGCACGTTTTATCTACGAATAGTAAAATTGAAGTAAAATCCAGATGTCTCTATGCTCTAAGTGCCTTAATACGCCAGTTTCCTGCTGCTCAGAAAGCTTGGATTGATCATGGTGGTTTGCAATTATTTGGAAAAATTCTATACGATGATCAATTACAGATACAAATGAAAGCAATAAAACTAATTAATGATCTAATAATTGAAAGACAAAATCTACAAGAGATCTATGATATTGAACAGCGTCAGCAAAAAACAAGGGAATATGCTATTACAGATTTCGAACAAAGATTATTGAGACACGATTACTGCAAGCTACTAAGCAACTTAATGATAAAGTGCTTCAATGAGAAGCTAACTAGCCAATTCAGCATAGAAAATAATGATTTTCTCGAAGTAGTTTCAGACAGCATGATCACGATATCTCCTGTTTGTAAAACTGAATTTAAAAACATTAAGCTTTTGCTTCTACCTGTTATAGATAATCTCTTATACTTTTATCAAAATTTGGATAATCTTAAACTGACTGTGGATGAAACTGACGTTTTACAAAGTTTAATATTGCTGATTGAAAGATTAAAAGTTACTATTTTTGAAGCATCTCATGATGAATTATGAATATTTTGATCAGCATTTAATTGAAAGAATTAAAGACTACAAATTGAATTCAATCCTTGTAGGGACAGATGTAAGAGTGCAATTATCTGTGTACAACAGTAATCATTCGTAATAGAATAGGGCTTTCTTGATACATATTTGTTTAAACTGAAGTAAAAAATTTGTAAAAAAGAAGATTGATCATCATAATAATAGTTTTGAAGAAAAATATATCTACGGATAAACAATTAAATATAATTTTTATAGATCTTAAGAAAAATCCATTTATAATAATAAAAAAAAAATATTTTATTATTCTAAATGACATATTGTCCACATTCTAAATAACTTATCATACTTGCACGATAAATCAGTGGAACGTGCAGATTCTCGTCTCTTGCATCTGAAGTATAAAGTACTAGTCATTACATATCAGTTAAATTTTTATTCACTGTTTGAATATGTTATGATTGTTAGTGATTTTTATCGTTATAGTCTATTTTTACCGTTATATGAGAGTTTTCTTTTTATTGGCCTATTAAATAATTAAACGCTTGTATGTTTTAAGTACAGGAGACGGGAACTTGATTTAATCAATCAGAGCTCAATCAATATTCCATATATATAATTCACATTTCTCCCAGCGACTAAGAGATATCATTTAAAATGACTGAAATATATGTATATGTATAATATGTAAGACTTCAATTGTTTGCTGTCAGCTAGTAAATGCAATTGTTTATGCAAACATATACAACTGTTATGTATTTTCTGTTTTAGAATTATTTAATAAATTATTTTGTATCAACAAAATGTATTTGATTGAATTGTCCAAAACAATTTCCATAGCATATATTTAATGTGAAAGAAGTAAAATGTGTGAACATCACAGAATAGTACATTTTATTTACAAATCATAGCAGATTAGAGATTACACATGATTAATTCTTTACTTACATAATCATAATTCATAGAAAATATTTTTGTAAAAGATGTTAACTTTTTTTAACCAGTTCCTTCCCTGAATGGGGAATATCTATTTACAGATACAGAAAAAAGCCTCCTGTATCATGCATTCAAAATGGTATAATACCTTGCTTTTAATTGTTAAGTACAAGGATCATTTATTTTGTGCCTCATAAAATATAGATATTTTGCATGATACACGAGGCTACCGAGAGAAAAGTACAAGTCAAATTTTTTTCAATACCCCACTCATTTTTACAAATTGGAAGTGTAACAAAGTATGTGTTTGTATTTTTTGTAAGTATATATTATCTATATATTATCTGATTTTTTTCTGAATTATTTGAATATATAACAAGGTGAAGCTCTATGAAAGATACATACTAATGTCTTTCATGTGAGTATATCTTTATAGATATACTTATTATCATGTTCTTGTTTAAAAAAAATATAATATAATTTTTCATAATGATATCGCTAAATATGCGCTAGAATATATATTTAAAAAATTAAATATATATTAAAATATATTAAAAATATATTAAAATATATATTAAA